AGATGGAGAGAAAGAGAGGAGAGAGACAGACACGATAGGGGGAGGGGACGAGATGCCCCAACAGAGAAAGGAGAAAAAGCAAGAGAGAGGAAGAGCAAGAGAGAGAGAACCAAGAGGCAGGGGTCCATTTATAGCTCCTGCCAGCTGAACCTCGTGGGCGACGCATGATGACATCATAGGTTGCTAGGCAACCCAGAAGCAGGCTGCCTAAATACTAACACAGGGGACCTAAGTTGATGGAAGGTATCTGAGTGATATGTTCATACATTTTTTTGTGAGACCTATAAAAGTACCATACCCGAACCACAGTTGGTTAAGGACATTATCTTTTCTTAGCATGACTCCCTGCCTGCCACAGCTGGTTTTTGTGTCAGGTGTCCTTTAGCGTGGCTGCAGTAATTTTGAGGTGCACTGTGAGAAAGGCAAGCCCGGCATGCAAATGTCTACTCACAGTCACTGCTGTGTGCAGTGTCTCACTGCCGAGTGTGGTGGTGGAGGAACTGCTTCCAGGATTTCTCTAATAGTCCAGCTCTCTTAGCGTTTTAACCCAAAGGTACAGAGCCAGAGGTCAGGCTCACATACGAAAGTTAAACAACACTCCTCTAAGCAAAATGCCAAGGAGGAGGTCTCAAGGGAAATTTGTAAAAAATAAATAAGCTGAGTGAAATGTAAATAAAATGGATCAAATTTTGTGAAACAAAGTTAAAGTGTTGCTCTCGGAGGGAGGTGTATAGAGCTAATGATTCCATCAGAAAAGATGGAAACTGGGCCGGCAAGATGGCTCAGCAGGCCTCCAGGTGTGGTGGCAAACACTTTTGATCCTAGCACTTGGGAGGCAGAGGCAGGTGGATCTCTGTGAGCTCCAGGCCAGCCTGGTTTACAAAGTGAGTTCTAGGACAGCCAGGGCTACACAGAGAAACCCTAAAGATGGCCCAGCTAGCAAAAGTGTGTGGTGAGAAGCCTGAGTGTCTGAATCCGAACTCTAGGACCACATGGTAGAAGGAGAAAGTTGATTCCTTCAGGTTGTCCTCTACCCTCCACTGCTGTGACGTGCTTACACTTCCTCATCTATACATTTATATAAATACATAAATCTTCTAGAGAAGAAAAGATCATATCAGAGAGTATCAAGATAATAGTCTATACTGTCTTCAGGATCTAGACAATGAAAAATAAAAATAAAAAGAATAAAATAACCCCAAAACAAGCATAAAGAAGTAATAAAGACAAAAGCGGAAATCGGTGTAATTAAAAGGAAAAACTACAGGAAAAATTAATGACAAAAAAGCCTGGCTAGTAAAGCCCTACCAAGCCTGGCAAAATAAAATGGAAAAGACAAAAATTGCCATTGTCAGTCATGAAACAATATTACCACAGTTCCAACAGCCATTGAAGGAATAAGAGAACATGGCAGACACAATCATACTTACAAATTCAACAGCTTTAGAAGAAAATCGACCAATTTATAAAACCCACAAATGACTGAGACTCAAACGAGATGACATAAGATAGTCTTATATCCATTAAAGGAATTGAACTTGTCATTAAAATGCTCTGGAAGAAGACAGATGGTTTCAAACTGAAGAACTCCAGCAAACATTTACAGAAGTATTACTAACTCTCTGCAATCTCTTCCGGAAGACTGGAAAGGAAGGAATACTTCTGTGCTCACTTTAGGAGGCCAGTGGGCTACTCTGATACCCCAAACCATACAGAGTACATCAAAGAATGCTAGAGACCAACATTTCTCCTAAACTTGCAGAAAGTCTCAACAAAGTGCTAGTGTGTCAAATATAAATGCATGTAAAAAGTACACAATATGGCCAAATACATAGCTACTATGTATCCTAACTACACATGAACCAATTAACATAACTACATTTTATATCAACAGGCTGAAGAAAAAAATTCACATAGCATCATTATCAATTGATGCAGAAATGAATTTGATAAGCTCCAACACTCATTCATAATAAAACCTGGATCTCCTTCAGCAAGTGTACATAATGGAAATAAATCTATGGCTATTGAGAATGAGAGTATGTTCTGTCAGTTAATAAGAGAATTTGACAAATGAAGACAGAAAGTGATGCACAAACCAAGACCAGGACATGACCTGGATCTGTCTTTGAAACTGGCTGGCCTGGAAGACCAACCTGAGTCACCCTGATTCTCTGCTCTCATCTCCACTTCAGCAATAGCCTTCCCTCCACTTCACCAAAGGGAAGCGTTTCTCACACTTTCTTACCACATGATCCATTACCCAACAGGCCAACAGAAGCAGGCATTTAACCTGAATCAACGCCCCCAGTCTAAGTATGCTGGTTAGCTCTTTGTCAACTTGACATAAACCGGAGTCACCTGGGAAGAGGAAACCTCAACTGAGTGACTGTCTTTATTGGACTGCATAGTGGGCATGCCTGTGGGAGCATTTTCTTAAGCTGATGATTGGTGTGGGAGATCTCAGTCACCCCTGGGCAGGAGGTCTTGAGTTGCCTAAGAAAGCAGGCCAAGAGAACCATGGGAAGCAAGCCAGAAAGCTGCATTCCTCTGTGGTCTCTGCTCCTGTTCCCATCTCCAAGCCCCTGCCTTGGCACTGTCAGAGACACGCTAGAACCTGAAAGCCAAGTGAATCTCTTATTACCACGTTGCTTTGGGTCAGTGTTTTCCCAGAAACAGGGAAACAAACCAGGGTACCATTTTACTAAGATACTGTCTTCTAAGTTTTTACTCTCTGTACTAAAAATTTTGATTAAGCAAAAAGGGCTTGGATGCATATTCTTCAGATACTTACATAGCTCCTGCTGGCAGCTTCATGACAGACCTTGAGGTAGACATAGCCAGCAAAACCAGGCTCACATTCCATAGAAACTATGAAATTATATGTATTTCTTGTAAGTGGCACTGTCTGGGCAAAATGTTATATAGCAATAGATTAGTACAGGAACATCTGAATTCCATTTCCAGCCAAGATGGTCCTAGAACAGACTCACAGTCTTTCCTTATGAAACCATTACTATTTTTATTATTTTCCTTTGTGTGTGTGTGTATACATTCACACACAAACCTGCCAGGGATTGAACAAAGCTTTGCCCACCGCGCCCATATCAACTTCTCATTCATTATACAATATACCATCCTTCTGAAATCCACCAGTTTCTGAATGTTTTCCAACTGAATCAACTGAATGTAATAAAGCGGCCAGAGAGGCTGCGCTTTTCCATCTAATGATAGAAAAAAAGAAAAACACTCCATCTGGATAGAAATTGATAATTAGCCATATCCAATTCCCGGATATCTGGCTTTTAAATGAAATGGAGCACAGTAATGTTTATTTCCCTTGGTTTTTACCGAAAATGCTATCTAATCCTTCCAGCCTTTAAAGAGAAAACACCAGTGCAGTTCTATTATTAAATTACTAAAACCTTGTCTCATTTTATATTACCATTGTAATGTATTTATTGAAAACAAAAAATGGAAGCTCAGAAAATCATGGGCCGGGGGTTGGAGGGAGCCTTATCATCTATGAAAATTGTGAACATTTTGATGACTATTGTCCAGGTTTACTTTTAACATAAATGGTGGCCCAGAATAACAATTTCCCTATCAGAAATAAACTTGTTTTATCTGACAAGATGGCTCCATGGGTGAGTCCACTTGCCACCAAGCCTGAAGACCTGAGTTGGATTTCTAGGACTCACATTTTGAAAGGCGAGAACCTACTGCCATAAGCTGTTCTTTGACTTCTGCAGAATGGCACAACACACATACTTGTGTGCATACACACCCTACACTCTCTCTCTCTCTCTCTCTCACACACACACAATAAATAAATAAATAAATAAATAAATAAATAAATAAATAGATAGATAAATAATAACTGTGAAAATGCAAAATTCACTAAAATAAAAATTCAAGGTCATCCTTGGCTACATAGCAAGTCCTAAGGCAGATTAGCCATGTGGAATTCTGTCTCCAAAAAACAAAAACAAAAACAAAACAACGAAAGAATAACAAACCCCCAGAACAGAATCCTTTCTTCTCTTAAGGAGTGTATAAGCTCATTTTAATAACAAACCCCCAGAACAGAATCCTTTCTTCTTTTAAGGAGTGTATAAGCTCATTTTAATGTTTATTTTTTAATGTACATTTTAGATCTGTCTTGCCATGAAAATATAGAATATTTTAATAAATGAAGTTTAACAAAGAAAATGAAACTATTGATTTCATTGAGACCCATAACCATGTCCCTGCATAGCTCATGGTTTGACTAATGACACTGATAATTCAACTCTAACAGCCAGTCTGAATAATTCAGGGGATGTCTGTAAGACCAACGCAGCAGCCTGAGAGTAGTGAGGTTCAAGGGCGAGACCCACCTCCTGTCCTTTCACAGTACCGCTGCTGCCCAAAAATTTGGGATGAGGAAGGGACCCTAAGAGTTGCATCAGGGTCTTCAGCAGGCGGAAAGTAGCTTGAAGAGGAGAGGTGACTGTAAAATTTGAGAGGTTTTGTGAGCTGTCTATCAAAGGCAGCCATCATTAAAGATGAAATAATGTAAGATTATAATTCAATAATTACGCTGAAAACAAAGCTAAGCGATTGCCTGAACCCATCAATTTTAGGTCAGCTTACTGCGTTTTCCATACTCCTGCTGCTCTTCCATCTGCTGTGTTTGTGTGAGAGGGCTGCAGGATGTGCCAGGGCACTTCTTTTCATGACCATGCTCAGCGAAGCCACTGGCATTTTAAAACTCAGGCATTTGCATTATGGATATCAACAAATGGTCCAAACCCGGGCTTTGGAAATTGTCTGGTGATGGAGAAGATGTTAATATTGTAAATTAAACTTAGACTCTGTCTTGTCTGTCACTGATAAGAATGGCACAAAGGATGGCAACATGCTCTTCTGGCATTCAGATACCATTGACAGATCCATCCACACTATTAACATCATTGACAAATGAGTCAAGTTTCAACACTTGTTTTCTGTTTGCCCAGCTTGCAGGAGATGCCTGCTCCCACGGCTGATCCTCTGTGGCACAACATCCTCGGATGAGAGAAAATGTAGAAGGCACAGGACTCAGAAGAGGGGAAAAGAATAGCAGAGAAAGGAGGGGGAAAGAGGAGAAGATTCTATTCAGCTTTGACTTCCACCTCCTGTCACCATCTGCTGGCAGCTGTGTGAGAAGGAAAGCAAGCCAGTGTCCCACACGGTAAGCACTTCCGGTTTACACCTGTGTCAGGAGCTAGCTGAAGACTGCACTGCTAACAGGGGAGCTAAGAAGCCAGCAGTCTCCACCCTGGCCTGACCGTGATAGCCAAATGCTTTCTGACAAAATACGGGAATAAATAAAAAAGAAGAACGATTTATTTTGGCTCATGACCTTTAGCGGTTTCAGCCCAAGGTTTCTGGGCCCAAGGTAGAAGGACATCATGGAGGGAGGCAGGAGGTGTGTGGTGAAGCACAAAAAGGTCACCTGGCACACAGGGAAGAGACAGGACACAGTGGGGAAGCCAGGTCAGAGGAGAACTGTGAATGGGGCTGAGAATAACAACAGTAACAACAAAAGTGCCCCTACTGAAAGGAAGCCATAAATGCTATGCTCAGGGGCTCAGGGTTGACGGTAGATGCTCATGTGGATTCCATTCCTTGCCCGGGGTGGGGGTTGGGAGGATAAGAGACCTGGCAAGGGTCAGGTGTGGCATGTAGTGGTACACATTTTTAACCCCTGGAGGTGTTCTGCCCAGTTCATGAACCCCAAAAGAGCAGGAATAAACAGACTCTGCTGTAAGTACATGAGGTTCTTTTTATTGTAAATTACAAGCTGCAGCTTGGGCCCACACCCCCCATGGCCAAAGCAGTGGGAGCTGAGTACCCTGTGCCCAGGTTAGTTGGGTGATTTAAAGATTCTGGTCCATCCCAGCATGCCCAAGGCAGGGGCAATTCCTGCCTGGCAAGCATCTATTGATCAGAATGCTATATTTTTAATCAATTGGCTATAGGAAGATTCCCAGACCATTAATGATCTAGTGTCCCTCCCTAGGGGGATGGTCCAGTTTCCTAGCAACTGTTTCTCTAGTGGGTGGGGAAAGAATGCAGTAAGGCGGTCCTTCCCCTCAGGGTATTACTGTACTTCTTCACCTACCTAGTTCAGGCCTTAATAATAGCTGCTAATTTTTAATTTTTTTGGTCTCTCATTTCCCCCTTTCCCATGATCATTTGAAGACCCAATCTTGGGTCTTCCAGACATGACCCCTTGTATCTTAAAGACTTACCTTTTAATAATGGGATCTGAGTACCATTAGTGTATTGCTCTCAAGCATTTCTTTATGAAAACCATTAAGCAATTGAAAATACAAGGCCCAAAGATAAAAATCAAAATGAGTAGGGGTCCCTTCAGGGTGAATATAGGGGTAGCAAGCCAATGAGAACTATTATCCTTTTTCTCTAGTGTCTCTCTAGGCTTTTAGCCCAGTTGCTGCAATATTAGTTTCCATTTCAGCTAAGCAGATGCCCAAGATAATAGCTAATGCCAGGGAGCCCCTTTTGACTTAGCATTTTAGCCTGCTAGGTGGGATTTGGCGAAGATCCATTTTCTGGAGCTTCTTCAGTTCTGACCATTGGACCGTTGGCATTAGGGGCTAGGGAGGCTGAAATACCAGTCAAAGGCTGGGCAGTGGGGCAGTCACAAGCATCTGGTTAGTTGATCCACCCGAAGAGGCAGGGAGCAATCATGTCAGTTTCCAGGAAGTCCAGATTTCAGCTTGCAGTTGATAGCTGATCCCAGAACAGAGTCAAACAGGTGAAAATCTGCTGAGACAAATTCAGACTGGAGACAGAAGTTAACATTTGTCTATTAAATGGGAAAGACCAGGGAAAATCTCATCTGTGATCCTTTTGAGCTATGCCAAATCCAGGTCACATCCTGAAACTCATATGAAATTTTTGGTACACAAAAGGAAATATATATTCAGCAAATCTAATATAACATTCTGAGAGTAACAGGTAAAACTGCATCCCACTGAATGAGTATCAGTTAGCTGTTTGTTTTATAACCTGTATAAACAACTTAAGTGTGTCCACGGTAACATTTCTTCTGTGGGCATAGCTGTTGGTAATCAGGCACGAATGGAGCTTGGCCATTTTTCATACACTCAGCATCTACTTTTAGCCCCTATCTCCATGTTTACAGTGGAAAGTTAGGCAGAAATACATTACCAGGTTTAGTGCTAAATCCTGGATGCTTGGATTTTTCTTTATAAAGTAACTAAAAGGAATAGGTTTAAGATATTCCTTTGTCAAAGTCTACCCCAGAAATGGCAGCTATTAAGAACACCATAGTAAAGGCTATGGCTTTTGGGTCAGATATACACATTAAACAGATGTTTTTAACATGACAAGAAGCACCTTTAAGTCTATCTCCAGAAGACAACCGAAGGAAATTAAAATCTCAACCTAGTGACTGAATAATAAGCAGTCAGTGTTCCATTAACTTACCAGAACCCTATTGATCAATGCCAAAACTCTGAACTTCTGAAATCTTATAACATAAATACAACAGTAGCAAAGAGGGGAAATCTAAAAGAGGCAGTTCTCTCTGAGCTTGAGACTGACCCGGTCTACATATAGAGTTCTAGGCCAGGCCACCTGGGCCTACGAAGAGAGTCCCTATCTCAAAAACAAAACCAGCAAACAAACAAAACCTGGCAAGGTGACAAGAAGAGGGGAAAAAACAAGAGAGTTTGGCTGAGAGTATTTGTCTTCCTCCCGGTCCAGTGCAGCTCCAGGCACCTCCTTCTCTTCTCTGCGGCAGACAAACTTCCAGATAAGGTTAGGCAAGCTAGACCAAGGAGGACTTCTAGTTCTTCTTGATGGAGTCCCTAGAAGCAGCCACCCACCAGGGTGGTGTTCTCCTACGCCAAGTAGAAAGGAAAGAGAAATACGTTGAAGTGTGGAGATGATCACCACCTGAGCAGGGGAGAGGGACTCGGATTTCCAGCAAGTCGAGGAGGGCATGATGGGGATTGTTTTGTCTCTGGACACAATGACTCCAGCCCAGGTCCTAGGATGGGCAACGCAAAGGGCAGACATGAGGTTGAGTCTGTAAGCATCAATTGAGCTAGGGGTGGAGGCGTCGGCCTTTATCCCAGTCAGATGAGAAGCTTTATTACAGCCAGATGAGAAATGTTAGGCTGGCAGCAAGGACAGAGACATTTGGGGACACAACCAGATGTGACCATCTCTTCTTCTCTTCCATCCAGGTTTATCCCAATGGAGAGAAGAAGAGACTCTTCGAGGCTGTTGAACAGCAATTACGCTGAACTTAGGTTCAAGCAGACCGAGTTGAAGTCTTTTAATTGGGTTGGATATTTACTTCAAGAGACTGATTTTGAAAATGCAAATAGCTAGTTATCTTGAGAGTGGTAAGATGGAGTTTCCTCCCCTCGGTGAAAATGGGGGCGTTAGAGATAAGTTGAATTCCATGATAGAGAGAGAAACCATATCCACCGGAGATGTAGGCTGGGAATTTTAAACCCATCATGCTACCATATACTCTCTCTGAAGCCGTAGGTTTTGTGTGTTGTGTGGTCAGAAGCATTGCACAGATGAGAGTGAACTCATTGCTTCAGCCTCTGCAGTGTTCGTGGGTCCTGAAGAGGTACTCTTGCTACACTCGGTACCTCAGGGGGCATTTTACTTCCTGGGCCCCTGGCTTGGAGGTTGCAGCACTTTTCAGCCTCTCCCAGCAGTCTCAGGGATGGCACTGCTTGTTCGGAGGCTAGGACGCATTATCCATCCATTCATCATCTCAATATGACTTCAAAGGGGCCGAAGCCTTTATCAGACATGAATGGTATGCTATTGCTGGTCTGTAAATAACATGCTAGAAAGGTGGTACTTACTTCCAGGAGCTCACTGATGGCAACAAAGAGAGAAGCAGACTGACAGACGCCTCCTCATCAGAACATTTGATATGTAACCCAGGTCAAATCTCCCAAACAACTGACCGCTTTTCCTTCTCCCTTGATGACAAACGGCAGCAAGAGGCAGTGTACAAAGTCAGGGGGCAAGAGTGAGTCAGTAGGGAACGTGGCATTGAAGCAGGAAGGGCACGGCCGTGATGATGGAAAAGAAGCTGTCTAAACATCAGCTTGTCTGGGTGAAGGGCCGGGTCTGATCTTTCCTTCTCGACCCTGTTCTCTCCCTTCCTGCCAGTTAAAGTTCACAGTTACTACTACGAAGTCTCTCCTGATCCGAGGCCTTCTCACTTAGCCTGTGGGGATGAGCAGTGGGATAAAAACACTGGGCTCACGCTGGGAGCTGGGAGCTAAGGGACCGGGAAGTCAGAGACATAGGAGGGTCTCCATTTCCTTTCTCTCTAGCAGTCGGAATAAAAGGTTTAAAGAGAATTATTGTTTGAAGCAGAAAAGTATTGTCTGCCTCTGCTGAGGGAACTCTGTTCTTGCGTACCAATTCTGTTCTCTATCCCCAATACATACAATGTTTTATCAGCCTAAGATTCCAAGGAAGGAGGGGTCAGATCACCGTATGCTGGGACAGGCAATGGAGGATTACTTTAAAATGTGAGAGTCTTGAGGCTAGAGAGATGGATCAGTAGTTAAGAGCACTGGCTGCTCTTCCAGAGGACCTGAGTTTGGTTCCCAGCAACCCACCTGGTGGCTCATAATCATCTGGAACTCCAGTTTTAGGGTATCCAATACTCTCTGGCCTCATTGGGCACCAGGCACACGCGTAGTGCCCAGACATATTTGCAAGCAAAACACCCATATACATAAAACAAAAATAAGTAACTCTTTTTAGACAAAGTATTAGTTGAATCTGTTTATTGGTACATCCTTTCATTTTCTAAGCAATAGGTGTTTTCAAATATATTTTGCTTTGGCCTAATCCTTTAAAAATGCACCTGCAACTAAGCAATACATGAATTCTAAAATTGATTCCATTTCATAGCTGGTTTGCTTTTTTTTCTTTTTTTAAATGCGTCTCATAGCTTAAGATTCATGGTCCAAACCCTCTTACTTACCCATGCCATCTCAGCAAGCATTGCTAGCACAGCAGTACATTAATTAACACAGTAACTAACTTGAGAACAGCATCTTATGTTACAAAACCTAGCAGATGGGAGAGAGAGATGAGAAAAACAAAGCTTGCTTCAAAACAAGCTATTTTAAAAGCAGTTATTAAAACCGATAGTGACCCAGTACAAAGCGGCTGCTTCAGTTTCTTACTTACTTCTAAGAAATTTGCGTAGGGCCAGAAGTTTATGTCAGGCGTTTGCTCCTGGAGATTACGTAAGAATGAAACAGCTTTTGTCAAAGTCTACTCTGCTACATTGTCTCTATGTATGTTGCGGAAGAATCCTGATACGGACCTGCTTTTGCAGCTCAAGGCAAGGACCCTGCCTTTGCCTGTAGTAAAGACACAGAATGACCCGTTTGGATACCAGAATAAAATCCATTTGTGGTTGTGGTTGGAGACAGGTGATGCCCAGCACTGTTCCTGCTGATGGGACACAGAAAGGATGGTGGAAAGAGAAGAAGAAACATCAAATCCTGCTGGTGGGAATTCGAGAACTGTAGCCGTAGAGTACAAAGTTTCTTACTCTTGGTGTTTTCTGAAACAAAGACAAGCTTGTAGACAGACAAGACAAGCTGAAGAAAGACCTTTAGCTCCTCCACTGAAAGTTTCTGGTTTGGAGTTAGATAACCAAAGACTGCTAGGTCTTCAAGGTCCCCAAGAGAACCACTTATGTGGAACCCACGGCACTTGTTCTGTTGAACGTTCAGCTGGGGCAAAGTGGTTCAGAGAACTGAAGCAAATAGTCTAAACAGTTCTACCACGATACACTTTTGTTCAAAGGCACATATGACTGATGCAAATTGGGCTTTTCAGCTGATTTCAAATAATAATAATAAAAGTTGTTTGCATCGTGTTGTACGTATTGAGAACAAAGTGTAGCTTTTTGGAAAGGTACATTAATGAAGATGAAGTTGTCGGAATACATTTACACATAGAATTTTCCAGAGACAGATGACAGTGTTTAAAAGCTTTTATGCCAAAATTGCAGAATCAAGTATGAAATCTTCATGTATGCTAACATCATAGATAACCTCATAACAGTGACTTTTTTCATTGGGTTTCTGGGAAATGAGTAATATTCTGGACAACAAAAGGTTCTTTGTACCAATCAGTGTGTTTACCCTTCTCCAAATCCCACGGTATCTTTATTTTTTCCCTTGGTTTACTTAGCTGAAATTAATATTGAAACAAGGTAATAGCTCTGTACCAATGGACTCAGACAACTGCAAATTGAAAACATTTGGGAAAAATATTTCCTTTACTTAATACGCACCTTCTTTTGCCTTGTTATTATTTCCTGAACTATATGGTTTAACAACTATTTTTCGACCATCTATAGTGATTTAAAGTACACAGGAAGATGTCTGTAGGTTTTATGCAAATACTCAGCCATTTTATATATCACAATTGAGTGTCTGTGGGGCTCTTGTTTCTTACAGCTACTGGGGGACTATTTCAACATTAGATTTAGATTGGGCGCTAATCTGCATCAAAAGAGTCTAAACCCATGAGTTTCAATTTCACACTCAAACAAATAAGTTATATTCCTCTTCTATCAGTCAACACTTCAAATCATCAGCAAGAAAATGAGAGGCCTGTCCCCAAAAATGCTGTGCTTCAGGCTCCATCAGTGGCAAGCACTTCAGTGGAGTTGTAATAGGGAAGCAGAAGGAGAGACCACGTCAGTGAGTCTAGAACTTGTATGCCCTACATGAAACTCTATTTATATCCATAGAACTGGGTCTGGTCACATTCTTATGGTAATAGGGAATTTTTTTTCGCTAAAAATGAATATTCATAATAAATGCAAAATAATTTTATTTGCTTTACTTTTGTTTTGCTCAGCGTTTCTCCATGTAGTCCTGGCTATTCTGGAACTCACTTTGTAGACCAGAGTGACCTCAAACTCAAGAGATCTACCTGCCTCTGCCTCCCAAGAACTGGGAACAAAAGCACATGCCACCCACACCTGCCAAATACAATAGTTTTAATATTAGACCTTCTTATGAAAAAAAATTAACTTTTGAAAAGCTGTAGTAAAACATGACACTAATGTATTCACCTTTAAGATGAGCGACCTGATTTGCACATTCAATGACTTGAGCTGATTTTCCCAGAATACATCACAGAGTCAAACATTCTCAGCAGGCTAAGAATAGGTACCAAGCTGTTAGTAAGAGGGGTGCTGGGTGAGAAGTAGACCTGCCAAGACTGAGTGATTAAAAATGGGCCCGTGTAGAACAAAAGCAGAGATTTCTCGTCCCCCATATGGTATGGCATCTTACAACAGCAGCACAAATACTTCTGTGATTTACAACAGCGGCAGAATTCCTTGGTCTGGAAACTTAAAGCATAAATTCCACCCCCTCACCTCCATATAGAGCTATGGTGGGGATGGGTACAGCTCTCTTGCACATGGAGTCGGATAGAAAGGAAACACACCAATTTATTTTTGTTGTCATGTTTTTCTTCTTTCTGATAAGGCTAAGGAAAAGTATGTTGCGAAGAGAAATGTTGCATGGCTAGTCCCGTCTCTGGTGCAGATGGAGAGCTAGGAATGGGACTCAGACGGACATCTGACACACACAGTGGACACAGGATGATGTCTCTGCACTCAGGAATTATGAGCCGTAGAATACATTCTGGCTGGTGTGCCTCTCCTGTCCTTTAGGAACGCATAGGTGATGATAGATCACATATTTGAGGGAGGGATGGTGTGAGAGATGTCATCAGGAATGCAAAATATAAGTTATAGAATAACAGGCTGCCCAGCTATTAAGGAGTCCTGAAATCAGAGTAAGAATGACCAGAGGAGAAGAGGAATGGCAATTGCGAGGCTTCGTTGAGCAAGGCAGTGCAGAGTCGCTTTCCGCTGCAGTCCGGGCAACGGAGCTGAATTCCCGCCATCTTGCAGAGCAGTAGAGCTTTCTTTTTGTGCATACCAACCCCAACATACACAGGGCCCAGCCTCATGGTAAAGACTCGACGTTCCGGATAGAGCTTTGGGGGTTCTCCGTATCTTCCGCAGGTGTGCTGCTCACTCGTCAATCTCCATTCCCACTTCCATCTGCCTTTCAGAATAGGCTGGGAACTCACTGGCCAATGTTCTCGTACCAGATTCCTACTTGTGTGCTGAGATGCAAAGTCAACTCTTCCCAGTATGTGTGTGTGTGTGTGTGTGTGTGTGTGTGAGAGAGAGAGAGAGAGAGAGAGAGAGAGAGAGAGAGAGAGAGATCTATCTGGTAAGAAAAGGGTGGATGACCTTACTTCAGAGCAAAGTCGATTTTATTTTCACCCTGGACAAGTTGACCTGTTTGGAAGTGTGGTGATTCCCTAAAAGTATCTGAAGTGTTTGCTGCTTATCCAATAACTAGACAAACTCCTTCTGGATTATTTTATTAGAAACACGCCCATATGCTCAGGCTGATAACCTATCAATGCTATGTCATTTGCTTCCTCTGAGATAAGTTCCACTGGGGATGGTGGCTTCCGTCTGTTATTTCCTGCTTGGTGGGGTTTTTTAAAACGTTTCTGGTGTTGAAATAACAAAAGGCTCGCCCACTCATTTACTTTTCTTTTGGTTGGTGATAAAACATGTTCAAAATAATATTTGGTTGCTGCATGGACACTGGAGGTGGCAGGAAAATAGAGAAAGGAGAGGAGGTGTAGGTGGGGCATGGTTTGAGGAATGAAACCCTTGATCTCTTCCACTGAGAAGCTATGGTGCGGCCAGACACAGCCGTCTGGGTTCATGTTCTCTGTGGAACTTTGATGTCTTCGTTCATCTTCTTTAAAAGCTGCTTGTAGGCAAGGAAATAGACCCACTTTTCTAAAGATTTCTATTTTACTTTTGTCCGCATTATTGCTCATTTGTGAGCTTGGAGTCTTATAGTCAGTGACCTTTGCTTTGTAGGATCACACAAAGGACATTCAAACTCAAGGAAAAAAAATATTTTCCTAGGGGACCATGTTGACAGCTTAGTGGGTTAAATATTTGTACAAGCGTGAGACTTGAATTCAAATCCCCAGTACCCATGTAAAAGCTGGGTGCAACAGCACTGAAATCACAGTACTAAGGGAACAAAGACAGGAGGATCTCTATGCCTTTCTGGCCAGCCAGTCTAGCCTAACGGTGAGCTTCCGGGTCAGCGAGAGACCCTGTCCCAGAACACAAAGTCGTCTCCAGAGGATTCAACTCCATTTTCTGGCCTCTGCGGGCACCCGCCCACGCCTGACATACTCGAATAGACACACAGACACGATGGAAATACAGACAGACGGAAGCATACACGTACACAGTAACAAAAACAAATCTTAAAAAACGGCAAGGCAGGGAGCACTACAGAACGACCCTCAGCGCTGAGCTCTGGCCTTCTCGTGTGCATGCAGGGTTGGCACGCCCTCACAAACACGCCTGTAC